ATCTCTCCTTCCCCAGATTCTTACCTAGAGGAAAAGCATTAATATTTACCCACCAATAACTATGCAGTTTTGCAAAGCATTTGGAGGTACAGCCTGCCTAGGACAACATGCAAAACAAATCTGTCAATTATGCAACTACTGTTATAAGCTAAATAGAAATCAAGTATGAAGAAGGATTTAGTGTTCCAGATTTTAGAATCCTAAATATCAGTTAATCAGTTAGTGGTTTATGCATACCCACAACTTCCCATTCTGTACTTATAATTACCTCCAAAGATGTCTGTTGGAGTTAATAATAAACCCCAACTTTCAATATCATTTTCAAATTGAACTTTTGGTCTTTGAGACTGTTTTTACCTGCTTTGTGAAAACAATGCTCTCTTGATACTTAATAAAAAGCCTATATAGGCAGCTATAAAAGAACTATCACAAAGGAAATAATCATACCCAGAACCTTCCTCCCTGCCTTCTGCCCAAGTGTTCCCTGCTTGGTGTTCAGGCAGAAGTGGCCTGGGAGTGCCGGGAGCACTAAAATGGAAGAAAGGTTATTAAGAAAAGGGGGAAGGGAGGTGTAATATACACATGACCTGTTTCTAGACCACCAAAAGTCCATCAAACCCCATATTCTGTCCTTAACAGAGAGCAAAATTGAGAGCCTACAGCAGACACAATGCAGACACCATATGTGGTATTTCCACTCAGCATTCACCTCATCTTCAACTATGTGCAGCCCAAGAAATTCTGAACTTTGATGTCATTTTTCAGTATTTAGCAATCCTCAGCTCATTTATCTTCCACAAACGTATCCATTTGTTCTGAACAGAACTAGACTTTTAGCACCCAGAATTTCCCTTGGCAAGGAGCTCCACAGATTACCCGGATATTGTACAAAGAATCACCGTGTCATATAAAGAGCTAGGCCTCTTGCTAGTGTCAACATTTCTTAAAATGGAGATGACAGAGAACATCTGTGGCTCGTCCACTTTCTCTAGCCACCCATAACCTTGTCTGTAACCTGGTGTGACCTCACAGGGGACTCTGCTTTGAGCAGGAGTTTGGACTTGCTTATCTCCTGAGGTCTCTGAATCATATTACGTTACTATGGTTTTATAGACACCTGTAGTTTCTCTCCACAGGTTTTCTTCTTCCATCCTGAAGAATCTAGTTGTCCTTTGTACAGAAACCAGCCCATACTTTGGGGTCTTTTTCCCTTCTCCATGCCTACAGTAGTCTTTCTGAGAGAGAAAATCAGACGCAGCCACAACACTCAAGATGTAAGTGATGGCACAGGTTTCTGCAGTTGGCTTCACCATGTTCCCTGCTCTCCATTCCTTTCCAAAAAAAATTTGATCTGCTTTCTTGACCAATATTGTGTACTGAGATTATATATTTATGGAGCTACTTATGAGAAGATAGTATCAAGATGCCGTTCTGGTACGGTAATAGCTTAGAGTTCATCACTGTGTATGTATTAGGACTGGTTTTCTTCTGAGCTCCCAAGAGTTCTCCTTTCTATGGGAAGAGTAGCTGAAGCACTCAGACTACAACCCAGGTAAAGAATCAAAATTTTGTAAGGTTTTTCAGTTTTTTGAAGTGACTTTACTCAAGGCACTAGGGTGTTGCAGCACACAATGTTGTAACACTCCCTGCACTCAGGAACCCCGCTGCAGAGTAACATGGGCTCCTTCACAAGCCCAAATTCAGTGCTCAGCTACAGAAAGGGATGAATAAGGGAGAAGTGAGCACGTAACACTGGGATTCACAGACATCCGTGCATCAAACACCCTGGGGGAGAGCCAACACACTGTGCTGTAGTCAGGGTACAGATTTTGGTCTCACCTCTCAAAAAATGTCTTCCTTCTGCTCAGGTTTCACAGCTCTGAGCCAAAACCTAGGCACCTAATCCAGGCAGATCCTCCTCAGAAAATAGAGAATATTACATGTTGCATATGTTTATGTTCTTATTCTTCCCTATGGAAGGCACAGGGGCTCTAAGTGCAAATCTTCCTTCTCATTGACTAGAAACAACATAAATGCTGCAGCCACCAGCATCCACAGGGAAGAGTATTGCTCCTTTTTTCCAAAAGGATAAAGCCAGGATATCAGGTACAACTGGAGCATCAAGAGTACCAAAAAAAGTGCTCCCAACCTCTACAGGAGGTTTTAACTTCTTGGCTAGCAAAACCATTTGTTTTAAAAACCAGCACTGACCTACATTGCACCAATTGTTTGGTACAGCACTGTTGGGATGGGTATGTTGCAAATTCACATCAGTTTACAGATAATCACTGTCCTTTAACATTAAAAATTTCATGGCCAAAAGGTTCTTTCCCTGAAAATTTTACTTATTCTAATGTATACAAGTCAGGGTTATGGTTCTTTTTACGCTCCCATTTAACAAACATGCAGACAAAGCATATAGCAGAACTCGTATTCAGTCGAAAACTGCATCTATTTACTTATCTTACTTTCAAAAGCAATATCCTGAAAAATAAGCAGTTGTGAAGAGCCCAGAAATGCCATAGCTTGTAATCAACTCACTTTGGTACGTGCCATATTCAATATTCTGCTCATCATGGAGGCTACGCAAAGATAATGCAAATCTAGTAGATTTCATTCAGGAGGCAAAGGGACTTGGTTAACATCAAATTCAGTGGTCACTAATCCCACTTGCCCTGTCCCTTTCCACCCAAGTAACACTAATATTTAAATACCCCAAATGGTAAAGTTCAGCATCTTGAGCCCTGTTAAATTTTGTAAGCCAAAGTAAATTCCATTTCTCTGATTAAACAGCGAGTATTTACAAAGATCATAAACAGTGTGTGTGAGTTGTTCTTGTCCTTCTTCATACCACCTGACTAAGCACTTTTTACTTCTACATGATTCAGAATAAAGTTTCCACTGTGCATTTTTGTCCAAAATAAAAGGAAGCCCCTGTTGAGGGTAAGGGAATGTAACATTTCAGGCATGAGATCCTGCAGGAAGGTGCAAGTAAACCTGTGCCTTCCCCAGGATCTCTCTGTACTGCCTTTTCACCATGCTTTCCTCTACTTCCCTCCTGATCGCAACTGGTTTTGAAGTGAGGTTGACCCTCGAGATGCTCAGTACAGTTGTCTTTAGCCTTTTCCATTGATTCTAATATATCTTTACATAGAAAAAATCATCAAGTAAAAGAAAAAGGAAAGAACAAAAATAGAAACAAGGCCCCCAGGTAGTATAACTATTGGGAAAATACCATTAGAGAGTCAGCCAATTTTGCTAGTATAAAAATGTAAGCTCTCATACCCTCAGTTCTCCACAGAAAATTAAGTGATGCATTATAAGAGCCCAACCAATTGATTTCTTCAAAACGCTTATGATAAAAGCCTTGTAATAGTTGCTGCTTACAGGTAACAATACCAGTCACAGATTAGGACAAATTCCTCAAGCGCTGGGAGAGTTTTATTTCACATTTGCCATTTCGATGCCTTCTCATTACCCCTTCTGGAACTCATGGCCAGCTGTACATCCTTAGAGTCAACAGGACTGAAAACAGTGAGCACAAAATGATGCCCAGGGTGGTGGTCACCATCAGACCTGGGTAATGTACAAAGCTGGGGGCATGGGTAAGTTAAGCCAATGGACTTCACCTCGAGTCAGTGAACCAACCAAATGTAGGAGAACACAGAGAGTCCTGCTAAAGTCTGATAGGTCACCCATCATATTTTCAGATGCAATGACCCACTGCAGCTCTTCACAAAATAACCATCTCTGATTAATGTCCAAGAACAAACACCACCATTAAAAAACAAAGACTACTAAAGTATTTATTCATGTTCTAAATGAGAAAACAATTACTAACTTTGAAAAATGGCACAAAAAAGAAACTACTTTGAAAGCAAAAAAAGGAAATGCAGCACTATTAGAGTACAGATCTCACTGATGCCTTCTGATGTAGCTCTCAAGACCATGAAATCACACCATTGCATAAGGAAAAACAACAAAATGAAAACTGAGATCTTTTGTCTCATGACTGTCACTATCCTGTGTGCAACAGCACGCTGAACACTGGTTAAGTCATTTCAAGATTTACACCAAAACTCCATACTACTTCTATATAAGTTTCTTCAAAAATAGCAATATCAGAGTGAAGAAAGTTCAAGGATAAGGTTGTTATTTTGTTTTATGAGTAATAAAAATGTATAAATGATAAAAATATCACAGAAAAGGAATATATGTCCTTGGAAGACCAAGGCACACTGCCACAGGAGTGAATTACTAGGATTTTCAACACAGCAACCCAAGCTTGCACAGCGAACAACTACTTCACAGATTCTAGTTTTTCATTTTAATAAGCATTAAACATCATAGGAGTCAGCTAAGAGTTATGTAGTATCCTTTCCACCAATGTGTCTGTGCCATGTAAAATGCATTTACAATGAGCAGAAAGAAATTTACATCACTGTGTACTCAGTCCCAAAAGCTGCTGCTCAAATTAATCCTCATACAGCAACAGAACCAAGCACATGCTGAACTTTCAGTAAGCAAATAGCCCTAGCTAACTGTCTAATCACAGTGCCCCACACTTTTCAGGACAAATGATATACAGCCTGTCTCCAATGGAATCAACAGAAAAAAACCCAACCTGGCATGGCAGCAGCAACCCATATTTCATTAGCCCTGTGAAAAATGACAAGATCAACTGATTGCTTGTAACTTGCTGCTGCAGAAGCTATGGTCTGAATTTACAAGAAGCCAGTCGCTCCGGAATAAAGACACAACAGTTACCTCTTATTTAAGGCAAAGAAGGATCCTACACACCCAGAGTTACTGCAGTTAGCTGACTGAGCTCACACGTTAGCTTGCGCCACGGAAGCTAGCCTGCCCACCCAGACCTTAAGGTGTTAATAGCCTTGCTATTCAGAAGTTCTTGGATTTTTATTTGATTTTTTTTAGCCACTGAGATTTGTAATGTACCGCAAAGTGATGAAGAATGAGAAAAAGAAAGAAAACAAGGTTACCTGAAGGCCCTCTATGGCTAACCTAAGCATGCTTGGTGTGAGTTTGGAGGCTTGCTTGAAGGTGAAGTTGCTCCAGTCTATAATCAAAACAAATCCATTCACTTGAAGCTCAGGGTCTTCTATCATGGCTTCTAAGGAAAGAAGTATGGCGCGCAAGATATCCACCAGTGTGTACCTGTGAATGTTAAGGGGAGATTCAGTTAGGAAAGGAGCAATGGCCACAGACATGGAGTAGTTCTGAGCGTTATTCCTTTCTACTGCTTGTCAAAAGTTTAAAACAAAGGAATGCAAAGTTATCCTCAGAAGTCCTGGGTGTGTAAAGCTGGGAAAGTCTCAAAAGCTCAGTCAGATGAACACATCCTCTGGAGCAGCATCATGTACATCAGCCAGCCAGAACAAACTACAAGAATATAAGACACCAAAAAAAAAATTTGAACTTTCATGTAGCCTTCTAATCTGCTTTAATATCTATGCATTTTATTAAATGTCTGTTAAAATATATCTAGGCAAACTGTGTTTTTCTAAAATTGTAATGATTACCAAAATCTAACAACACAAGCCTAGACCCAAAGTTTCCACCTGTATTTTTCCAAGGGATTGAAATAACAGCTTCTGCAAAATTATCAACTAAAAACGGTATTTCCAAGTGCTTCCCTTGTCCATCACTCTGGGTCATGTTGCCTCTTAAATCTACAAAGGGTGTTACAGAAGGCTGGTTACTCAAGGATCTTGAAACAGAAAGTAACATATACTAGAGCTTTGAGGTGTTTCTGCTTAAGAGCAACAGCAACCTTTTAAGAGTTACTGAACAGCCTTCTGAGTACTTTGTACACCCAAATTATGTGGTTTCAGGAGTAAGGTTGGAACGTGGTATTCGTCGGACCTAGAATTTTCTATGTTAAATTTGGGTTTATAAAGATGCCACCTACAACAGGTAATTATGTCTTTTACATATTGCACATAATCTTTTCTTAGATTGATGATCTTGTAAAAGAAGACATAATTCCATATTACCAAGCCCTATTGACTATAATCTCTTTTTTGAAGCTAAAGCACCTAATAAAGCAACTGAATACCTTAAATATCTACAGCAATGTCATCTTTAGACTGCCATATAATAGAGTTATCAATGAACTTGCAGTTAAGCTTATTGTTTTTTCTTTTAAAAGGTGAAATACCTGAATTATCTGGGTTTTTTTAAGAGATATCAAAGTAGTAGTTTAAGTTTTGATTTTTTTTCAGACTAACTATGGTTTATAAGAAAAAGACTTTTTTAAAAGTAAGACAAATAGTTACTGAAACAGATGTAAATTTGCCAGTCCAGACCAGAGTATCAGATGTGGCATTAGAAAGCTAAACCAGAAAATGTCAGATAATCAAATACTCCAGGAACAAAAGAACTAATTAATTCTTCAGTGTTTGTGAAGATATTTTTAAATAAGGTCCTTTAAAAGTCTACCATGACGGCATCAAACCTAGAAGTTCTGAATATGATGAGTCTCCAGAGAAATCTTCACCATACTGCACATGCAGCAAAGAGCATGTGTGCCTATTGAGAAATTACATTAAATTACACTAAATTCTACTTGCTTTAATACAAGTGAACTGTTATGTACATAACTATATTTTGAAAGTATCTGCAAAAGGAAATAACACAAATTAAATTAATCTGACCTAGTTGTCTCCTCACATCATCTTTACATCTTTACTTTTGTGGCCAACGAAAACTCAGTGAACTGCCCAACCACGCACTCCAAGGAAAGGGATTTTGTGTGGCAGGGTTTTCATAGTGTGGCAGAGTTTACAGGGGTGGCTCCTGTAGGAAGCTGCTAGAAGCTTCCCCAGCTCTAAGTCAGATCCACCTCTGGCCATGGCCCAGCCTGTCAGGGCCTTTGGCATTAACATACTTAAGAGAGGAAAACAAGGAGAACCTGCAGTGGAGAGAGGAATGGGATGTGAGAGAGACAACGAGGCAGAGACTCAGGTTAGTGCAGAAAGGAAAGGAGGAGGTGGGCCGGAGCAGAGGTTCCCCTGCTGCCCATGGTGAGAGGGCAGGCTGTGCCCCTGTGCAGCCATGGAGGTTCTTGGGGGAGCAGAGACCCCCCTGCGGCCCAGGGAGGGCCCCACGCTGGAGCAGGAGGATGCGCCCAAAGAAGTCCCTGATGCTATGGGAAGCCCACGCTGGAGCAGGCTGCTCCTGAAGGACTGCACCCCGTGAGAGTGATCCGTGCCAGAGCAGTTAGTGAAGAACTGCAGCCCATGGGATGGACTCACGTTGGAGAAGTTCATGGAGGACTGTCTCCCATGGGAGGGATCCCACGCTGCAGCAGGGGCAGAGTGTGAGAAGTCCTCCCTCTGAGGAGGAAGGAGAGGCAGAGACAACCTGTGATGGACTGACCACAACTCCCATTCCCCGTCTCCCTGCACCACTGGTGAGGAGGAGATAGAGAAATGAAGAGCAAAGCTGAGGCCAGGAAGAAGGGAGGGGTGGGGGTTTTAAGATCTTTGCTTATCTCTCATTATCCCACTCTGATTTGATTGGTAACAAATTAAATTGAGTTTTCTTCCCCAAGTAGAGTCTGTTTTGCCCGTGACTGTAACTGGTGAGTGATCTCTCCCTGTCCTTATATTGGCCCACTAGACTTTCCTGATTTTTTCTCCTCCCCTTTCCACCATGGGGAGGAGTGAGCAGCTGTGTGGTGCTCAGTTGCTGGCTAGGCCTAAACCATGACAAAGAGTGTGTGTTCTCCCTAGAAAGCAAAAGGGGAAACATTGTTTTACACAATTCTTCTCTTCATTTTGGAAAACCTTATTTTGCTTTGAATTTGGTCTGGATGACTGGCATAAAAGTTTTCATATTCATTCCTCTCCTTTTCATTTTTGTGAGATTATCTTTTTCCTAAGGCTTTACTTTACTGAGATCTAAGTTTTACATGAAGTTTCGCATACTCCCTCTTTTTTGTTCACATTTTTTCAACTGGGAGAGAAAACAGCCCAAGAAAAATTCTTCTCTGGAATTTCCCTATGGAAATCCTCAGAACACTAAAATTCTCTATTTCCTTTTGTCAGGGATTAAAAAAAGACCATTTTTGTAAATGGAAATTTGTCCATGGTGGAAAAAAAGGTTGTGCCTTAAAGCCAAATTTGAAGGAAAACATTCAAAACCTGGATCCTTAAAGTTGTTTGCACAATTTGATCATCGAAGAACTGTTATGCCAGGACCCTGTTTTTGCAGTTGACACAGTAAAGCAAACCTGGAGCAACCTGCCCCCAGTGCCAGGGGGCACAGGGGCTGGTGTGGCAGAGCCAACACCTTGGGCACAGCACGGCTGATGCTCCCCCTCCTCCCAGCAGAGCAGTTCTCCCAAGACCAATTGCTGGATGTGTGGGGAAAACGCCACCGTTGCTGCTGAGGCCTCTGAATAAGCAAACCAACAAACACGTCCAGTACTGCAGTGCAAAGAGTGACCTGAGGAAAAATGAAGTCATTTGTCAGCTCTTTCCCAGACAAGTTTGCACATGTATAATGCAACGTATAGGGATTGTTTGGCAGCATGAAGCCTACAGACAGTTTTACTGGCACTAAGAAGGTCTTAGTTTGCCTAGCGTTTCTGCAGACCAGTCTACCTATCCAACACAACACTGGTGCCTGGGCAGTGGAGGGCACCTAATCAACACAGGAACTCAAAAATCCCCTGTATGACAAGCATTTTGTACAACTGCCAGCACTGGGATTAACACACGTGCTTATTAGCCTGAGGGAAGGAGGTTTACAGAGTCATGTTCAGGGTCAGGGGTGGGCTCACAGAGTGGCCAACTGCCTTCAAATCCCTGGTTACCTCCACAAGGTGGTGGAGGTCTCAGAATTACTATTTTCTTTATCACTTCATAAAATCAGATGGAGATACGCCCTGTAAGAGGAGTTCCCAGGGGCAACGTTGCACTGGGAAGGAAATTGCATCAGGCGAGACATTGGGAGAGCATCTAATGCCTCAGTCTGAGGAAGATAATCTATCAGAGCTCATACAAGAAACAGACATTAGAAATACTCAAATCCTGAAATTAGCCTCAAGCCCATTTGAGGCTGCCCCATTCAGAAGATCTCTCATTCTCCAGGAGAAGAGCTTGATGAAGCAGAAGGCAGCTGCAAGCACCCTACATCCAGTCCAAGAAGATGGGTGCCAAGTTCCTGATGAAGATCTCTAATGTCCTCCCTAGGGAGTTCAAGATGACGTCACATGCCTTGGATTAACAGCTCCTCAGGGACAGAAGACTGCCACTGCACAATCTGGTGCATTAGACATAAAGATTCTTTGTTTATGCGGGCAATCAGGTCTCTAAGACTGGCCATTAAATGGTCAATTATATATACCTAATTGATAATTATATAGATGTATACATGTAAACACAAATACACCTAATTATGTTCTGAATTTATTCAAGTCAATGGGAAAACTGTCAGACACCAATGCGATCAGGATTTCAGCCACTACAGAGAGCAACCAGTGGCCACAGGGCTGGGCTTCTACATACCTATGGCATATTCACCATCACTGTAACTCCTCTTGCAAGTTTGCTTAGTGTAACAAATACACTCCTCAAAAACAATGGTGATATTGTATGTTTCCCCACTAAAAAAGACAAAAGGTTGTGCTCTCAGTGAAAACAGGTCCTGAAGAACACAGGTTTAGATAAAAGAAAGTAGTAACACTTTCTGCTAGAGGAAGGTATCTGAACTACTCTTAAGTCTAAAAAGCCACATCAGGAGTATACAGGGACATGTCACTACCAACCAAGCTTATACCCTCAAATACCCTTCGGAACAATTAGTTGAAGACAGGAGCAGTTTTTCATTCTGTAATGGACCTCTCCTCTTAGTTTTGATACCTTACTTAAGTACAGTACAGAAAACCAGACAAGAAAGACAAATCCATTAGTGGATATTTAAAGCAGCTTTTACCCTGGACACATGCTGAGGCAAGCCAGAAATGTAAACCCAGTGTGATAGATGAAACCTTAGGTGCTGCAAATGGCAAGCTGAGTATTCAAACTATCAGCTGAAGAGCCCAAGCAAATGAAACATGATTGAGGAAACCATACTGAAGCCTTCACACAGCAAGGAGTTATTTGCATAAAGACTCATCTTTAATCTACTCCAGCCCCATGTTGTCCAGC